TGAGGGTGCCAGAGCACTGGAACAGGCTGCCCAGAGAGGTTGTGGAGTCTCCTTCTCTGGAGATCTTCCAAACCCGCTTGGACGCAGTCCTGTGCCACGTGCTCTAGGTGACCCTGCGTGTGCAGGGGGGTTGGACTAGATGATCTCTAGAGGTCCCTTCCAACCTTAAGCATTCTATGATATGATATGATTCTATGATAAAGAAAAGTTATTTTAATAACTTTTTTAATTTATAAAATTTATAAATAGTTACACATATATATATATAGTTAGCTATAAAATGTTTATTTTAGTAAGTTATTTTAATAACTTTATATTTAAAAATATAAAGAAAAATTAGAATGCTGACCAAGTACTTCCTCAAAAGCGGCAAGCCTGCCATCTTCAAGGACGGAGCATACAGAACCTGATGTCTTCCTGAATTTAAAAGGCTGAAAGAGTTACATTCAATTAATTCCAACAGGCCAACAACTATTGCTAAATGACAACTAATTTTTGAAAATAAAGAAGGATTAATTATAGGCAGACAATCTGAGAATTCAGAGGATGTGTTTTTATGGACCTTAGCGTTGACGTTATCTGGAGTTTCTAGAATGAGTGTCACAGTCCAGGAGCAGGCCAGCTTTTGAAGTTGTCCAAACAATACGCCTACCTCTGTATATTTTGGAGACAGTTTAAGACACAAGTAATAGCAACAAGGTCATTCAGAAACGGCACCTATACATGCCAACCCAGCTGCAGGCTGCAATTAGTAATTTGTGACTCTTAATTTGCAAGAGACATATAATAAAATGTATAAGCTCTTCCTCCAGTCTTATGATCAGCTCAAAGGACTTCTTTGCTCTCTCCGTAGGGATTCTGTTACGACCAGTCCACCAAAATTCATGAATCACTCCACACTACACCACCAAACATTCTGTTTTTCCATAAATTATCAGTTAACCCATACATGTTTAGGAGTTTTCATCACAAATTTTCCATGACTCTTGAAGTCCTATCCAGGAAAGCAAGTTCAATAAGTTAATTATATCCAAAATTACTAGTATATTCCAGTTTATCCCAATGGAAATTATTTATTATTCTAAGCTTCATCTAAATGCTTTAATCAACAATTTTTTGTGCACAAAAAAAAAGAGCTTTAGTGGGGTTTTTTTGTTTGTTTTTTAAAGAGATTTAGCCTTCCTCTCAGGATCAGCATTCCTCATGTCACAGAGAAAGGAAACCATCTCAGTTTACAAGTTGAATAAATACGGGATACAATATGATACACATTTTTGGAATGTAATTGTTAAAGTTTGTAAGCGAGACTTGAATTTTGCCAACTCTGCATCTAGATGACTGACCCTAACTCCCAGGAAGGAAGATATAGAAACCAGGCTAGGCAGCTCCCTTCTACAGCTTTCAGGGCAGCACAAACCCACAGCAGCATGACTCTGTGCACAAGCTTCAGTTACTACAGCACAAAAGACACACACCAAAAAATAATGCCAAGTGGTACTGCCTCTCTCCCAAAAACTTTCTTTTTATTATATGCACAGATTTGGTAACACAACTACACATCATCTGCACACTTGATTCTGGGCAAAGATTGAAGAACAATCAAAGCTTACATGAATGCTGCTTACTTATTAACCTGGTAAATTATAATTTATAATCAGTAAGCATCCTGTTATACACGCATTGCCATATAGAGGGTCATATCTCATTTCAATGGTAACTACCATTAAGTTAATGTATTTAAGAAAGGCACTTTCTTAAAGTGTGTTTATTGCACACTGAAAGTGTGCAAATAGATTTGTTTAATCTTTGTAGACTCCAGTTCAAATTCTGCTTAAGTCACAAGTAGAGAAGAGCCCACTGAGCTCAACCTTGCACCCAGAGGGAATGTTTGCGCCCATTACAAAACCGCTACAAAATCTGACTGTTTCTCTACTTAAATAGGGCCAAGATGAAAAGCAGAAGCATGTCAGCCAGAAATGTGAGCACAACAGAGCTGTGT